CTTTCTTTCCAAATATCAACTTCCGTTTTTTCATATCCATCTTTGGTTAATTTAACTTTTAAATAATTTTCAAAAACTTCAGCTGAACAATTTGGTTGGGAAAAATATGTACTTCCTCCTCCAGTACCAAATAATATCGAATTCAATTTTAAATTAATTGGATATCCTCCTACTCCTATTCCTTGTGACGTTATAGATGTGGTACGTGATGATGTTGGAATTAATGTCGTTGGTACTACAGTAACTTGTGGTGTTGGTAATCCTGATGGTGGAATCACCGAAGGTGAACGTAAAGGACTTGTTACATTGTCTGGAGATTCAGCGTCTAAAATAAATTATGATATTTTTATTTATATTTTAAATTATGATATAAATTGCTTAATATCACCAGTTGTGATTGTCACTACTGGGCAAATTTAGGATCAGGGAATTATGTAATTTTACCTGGTGTTGACGATCACTACTGGTGAGATTTAGCAAATTATTTAATAGATTGTACAAGAGAAAACATAACTTTTTACCTGGTGACGCCGCAAATTCACCTAGAACAGTGGATGTAATCGCTGGTTACAAAAAAAAAAGGTGAACGAATAGGTTAATTTCAACTATCAAAAAATTAAAAAATTAATAATATATAAAAAATAGAAAAAAATAAAATTTCTTTTATTAACGATTTCTTTTTTTTTCAGTGTCAAAGACATTATTAAACATTAACCTTTCTTTGTAGATGCTCTTTTGCCTAACCCAATCCTTTGTGAACCACTGTTTGTAAATCCCCCCCCTGAAGTTTCTGAGACCTTTTCACGACCATCATCATTACCAATGTATGTTAACGCACCCGCACCTTCACTCATTGAAAGTGATCTACCTGACTTCTTTTTAGATTTTGCTGAAGGTACTGCTGATAACGAATATTTTCGGGATTTAGAACTCGATGCTGCATTATTTGCGTCTCCCTCCGCAGTTCGACTAGCATTTGGTCCCTGTAAAATCTTTCCTTGTTTCCATTTTACTCCGCAAGCATTGCACAAAGTTCCTATATTGTAAAATTCAAAATATAAAGTGAGTAAAATCACGGTGGTATAATTTACTATTTTTTTTTACATACCAGCTCCGTCAGGTCCTCTTCTCCACATAGGTGTAGTTTTACAAAAACAGTAAGCACACCTTTTAT